TCCCTACAGCTGTTTCCCAGCCCTATGTTAGCTGTCCCTGATGGGATGGGGCTCACTGCTAGCTACCCCACCAGTACTACCCCAGTGCTACTCAGCTCCCTACTCCTGTGGTGAGCCAAGAGCCCCAAAGTGCTGGGATAGGGAGTGGGCAGAGAGGGACCTGGTTCCTGTGCTGATCAGCTTCTGGCACTGGTCATGGAGCTGGGCCCAGGAGCTGCTTGCTGTCTGGGCAAGGGGACATTGTCCTGACCAGGCTCCATGCTTGGAGCCCACCCTGGCAGCAGGCAGCTTCTGGGGGCAGGGAGCAACCTCCCAGCCCCCACTCCAATCATGGAGCCAGGGCTAGGAGCTGCCTGCTGCCAGGGCAGGGGGACATCCCAGTCTGCACTCAAAGCCTGCCCCAGCAGCAGGCAGTTCCAGGGGGAAGGGATTGTTCTCCCATCCCTTGCTGCCCGAGCTGATCAGGAGCAAATTTGCTTCTCATCAGCGGTTTAGATGTGGGCTACTGCGCAGTTAAGTTGCTACTTGCATTTGCAGGTAGCAAATTAACTCTGCAATTGACTAATTGACTGCTCAGTAAGCATTGGCACGTGTAGACGGTGACGCTTTATGGCACAGTCAATTAGTCAACTGCGTGGTGAAACGTCTCACGTAGATGCACCCAGTGTGTATCATGCTGCTGTGCCCTAACTCAGAACACACATTTTCAAATGGGGGAACCTTAATAAACTGCCCCTCAACATCCAGAAATATGTCTAAAAAAACCCAGCTGTATGAAGTTAGGTTCCTCCACTTGCAGATACGTGCCCAGGTTGGGGCATGGCACCCTCAGCTGTTGTCCTGCAGGATCAGTCTCCTGAAGACCTGGGAACAGCAGGGATCTGACCTTGTAGGACTATAACCCAGACAACATCTGTGGAAGACAGTGAAATGGATCAGCCTGATCCTCGCACAGCTGGTATCACTCCAAACACAACACGTCTGTTTATACCATAAATGCAGGGACTTTTGGAGTTGCCTACCATGGCCTTTAGGAGGTTGCTATAGGTCTTACTCAAAACATCAGAAAACAGACTTGCTAGGGCTGAAGGCTTCTGGATTTCTCTTTCCACAATGCACAAAAACAACTGCAAAATGTGATATCCTTCCTATAATTACAAAAGTCAACTACAGCTTACTGCTGGTGCGGGAGAGAACAGAGGAAAGCATGCTCAATTTAGTCATTTTTGTAAACCCAATACCAAGATGACAAATTTGTTATATTTAGCTGGATAGAAAGAGTGCTAAATTCCCTTAATCTCTGATTGGAGCATATGTTAATTGGGAATGGATGATGACACAGACTTCTTCCATGAAGTAATTAGGTTCTAAGTAAATGTGGGTGTTAACATTTTTTACAACTGGAAATTCACAGCAATGTAAAGGCAGAGGGAAAATAGCAAGAAACTTGCCAGCCCATGTATATAGATTTCAACTTCAGTCAACCTGATTTATTTTGCACTTAAAAAGCAATCTAAATTCATACAGCTGGTTTTCTATAGACACATTTCTTGATTTTGAGTGGCAGTTTATTAACCGAGGGGGAAAAACCATTTCTCCCCATATAGAATATTTCAGAAGAAAAGAAGATACAATTTAGTAAGTGAAAAACCACTTAATAAGCCATGCATCCCATTTATCTTATTACTAGAGATGTAATTAAGGACAGAGTAACACCTTCATCACCCTACTCATGTTGAAGCTCCGCAAGCAAAGTGGTGCATAATGGTTACTTTGTATTATGCAATATTTATGCAGCTTTTGTGTAACTCAAGAGATATTCCCTGTGCATCAATCAAAATTTAAGCAAACACTGACAGGGAGATTCACAAAGGGACGTGACATTGAGATACTGGGCATGTCTACACATTGACCTATGGCGACATAACAATGTGCTACGTCGCCATTCAGTGTGCTATGTAGTGATTATATTGGTCTACACATGATCTCCAGCTATGTTGCTGTAGCAGTGTGCTCCCTGCTTATAGTGCACCACTATGGTGATATAGTGGGGAAATCTTCCAATGCGCCGCCAGTACAGTGCAGTACGTGTGGTTACCGCGCTGTGTTTTAGGACTTCCGAAAGGATGCACCTTGTCTCCCAGCAGAGAGTCCTAATAATCAGGCTAGAGGAATGCCTAGTTGTCTAGTTGGGAGCCGGTATCAAGTGGAGTGCCCCAGGGGTTGGTCCTGGGGCTGTCTTTGTGCAATGTCTTCATCAATGAACTGGAAGATGATATAGAGTGCACCTTCATGAAGTCTGTGGATGACACCAAGTTGTGCGGAGCAGTAGATACACTAGAGGGCAGGGCTAGGATTCAGAGAGACCTAGACAAATTGGAGGATTGGGCCAAAAGAAATCTTATGAGGTTCAGCTAGGACAAGTGCAAAGTCCTGCACATAGGACGGATAAATCCCATGCACTGGTACAGGCTGGGGACTGACTGGCTGGGTAGCAGCTCTGCAGGAAAGGACCTGGGGGTTATAGAGGGCAATATGCTGGGTATGAGCCAGCAGTGTGCCCTTGTTGCCAAGAAGGCTAACGGCATACTGGGCTGCATTAGTAGAAGTGTTGCCAGAAGTTTGGAAGTGATTATTCCCCTCCATTCAGCACTGGTAAAGCCACATCTGCAGTACTGTGTCCAGTTTTGGGCCCCTCACTACAGAAAGGATGTGGACAAACTGGAGAGAGTCCCAGCAGAGGGCAACAAAAATGGTTCAGGGGCTGGGGGACATGACTTCTGAGAAGAGGCTGAGGGAACTGAGTTTATTTAGTCTAAAGAGGAGAAGACTGAGAGGGGATTTAACAGCAGCTTTCAACTACCTGAAGGGAGGTTTGGAAGAGGATGGTGCTAAGGCTATTCTCAGTGGTGGCAGATGAGAGAACAAGGAGCAATGGTCTCAAGTTGCAGCAAGGGAAGTTTAGGTTAGATATTAGAAAGAATTTTCTCACTATGAGGGCAGTAAAAAACTGTAACAGGTTACCAGAGAGGTGGTGGAATCTCCTTCCTTGGAGGTTTTTAAGACTGGGCTGGACAAAGCCTTGGCTGGGATTTTCTAGTTGGGGATGATCCTGCTTTGAACAGGGAGTTGGATTAGATGACCTCCTGAGGTCCCTTCCAAATCTATTTTTTTATGATTCTATGATAACCCTTCACATGAAACTCAGCCTCAACCTAGAAAGAAATGTGCATGTCACAGGACTGGAAAAAGAGCAAGCAAGAAGAAGCCTGGCTCTGTTGACTGATGATGAGGGCACTCTTGTGAGAGACAGAGAGTCCAGGGTCTGCTGTTTATTCATTTTATGCAATGGCTATTTTTGAATGTAACATGAATAAGCAGTTCCAGGAGGAGGGACTAGGGCTTCCTCTCCCCAAAGTACCCTTTCACTGAGCTGCAGAATCAGACTCCCACCTGACTCAGCCTGGCTAAGGGTTAGGGCCTAAATTATTCATCTGATGCACACATAACACAGACCCAATTCTTTGAGGGAAAGATCGTCTGTTGTCCATTGCATTGCAGAGTTCTTTACACCAATGCTGCATGAGTACAAAGCTGGTGAAAATTGTAGCCTTTTTGGCTTAGTAACAGTTCACAGTCACTGTTCATTTGACTTCAGCATATTTTGGAGTGTCAGGAGAACGAGGCTTGTGACAGTATCTGTTGGAAAGACTCTCACTGATTTTAACGGCAGTTGAATTTAGCCCTTCATGATATTGCACAATTATTATGCAGTGTCTGCAGTATGCAGTCAGTTTTCTTTTTTCACCTCACCTCACCCCATCACTATACTCAATAACTTATGAAATGCCTGACAGGGATGGAGTATTGGTTGGGGCCTGGTCGTCTGAGACCCTGGCTGCATGCAGACCCATACACAGGCCCACAGGCATGGGCAAATCAGGCTGCTGCCTGGGGCCCAGACAGAAAGGGTAGCCTAAAATGAAAAAAAAATTACAATTGCAATTTTTTTTTAATATTGTGCATATACAGGACTGGCAATGTTATCAATTGAGAACAAACTATTTAGACATCAATACCAGAGATGTGATAAAGACTTTTGCAACAAAAAAAATCATTATCTCTGGTGAAGGGGGGACTGATAATAAACGTTTGCTCAGAGCCTTCAGGAGTCTAGGTATAGCACTGGCTGGATAACCAAGGTAATAGTCAAAGGTTGGGGAAAACGGTCAAGGAGGAAGTAACAGTGGTTATTTCAGCATCTTTGAGCAGGGTGCATTTGTGAGCCATTTGTGCTATGCCTGATATGAGATCTTGTGCTCAGTTACCAAACCAAATCCAGCTACATCAAAACCATCCATGCCCAGTCAAGATAACAGATCTCCAGCGGAACAGAGTAGCTTTCAGAGTCCAGAATAAAATGCATAAGAGCTGGAAATAATGCCTCTACAGTTGATACTACACTGATTCAGAATTTGACCAGGTAGAGAAGGCTGCAAGACCCCTCCCCTGCTTGAGAAAGGCTTTGTACCATGCTTGACTTCATTTATACTTTTTAAAGGAAATATTCACTCTATCTGCTTATATGTATTTCAAACACAGAGAGCTTCCTTTGACAAAGGGCTGTGCAAAGCTTCGGTAGTTTCATAGTTTCTAGGGTCGGAAGGGACCTTAGCAGATCATCTAGTCCGACCCCCTGCCATGGCAGGAAAGAGTACTGGGGTCAAATGACCCCAGCAAGGTGTTCATTCAACCTCCTCTTAAAAACCACCAGGGTGGGAGCCTGCACCACCTCTCTTGGAAGTTGGTTCCAGACCCTAGCTGCCCTGACCGTGAAATAGCGCCTCCTGATGTCTAACCTAAACCTACCCTCTGCCAGCTTGTGACCGTTGTTCCTGGTCACTCCTGGCGGTGCTGGGGGGAACAGTGACTCCCCCAGTGCCTGCTGATCCCCTCTGACTAGTTTATAACAGGCCACAAGATCCCCCCTCAGCCTTCTCTTGTGGAGGCTGAACAGGTTCAGGTCCCGTAGCCTCTCCTCATCGGGCCTGCCCTGCTG